TCTACATCCATCTCCCACAAGTGGCTTGCGTCACTCCTCCCCCAGCTCCCTCCTATCACTGGATGGCCGTGCTCCACCCGCACCCTCATCGCAACGCCCGTGCTCCAGCCACACTCATGAAGCCGCATAGAGAGCTCAGGTCAATGCCCGTGCGTTGCTACGGGCTACAATGCATATAAATTTAGCTGTTCAACATCATTTTTATGGAATATAATTCTTGTGCACATGAGAATATATCATTATTATTTTTACCGGTAAAACTGTTATCTTCTTGTTCCTCATCCACTCTCTCGGCCTCTCTCATCCATCAATGGCATATGTGGCCCACAATCCTGCGTGTCCATCTCAACTAAACCAACAACCACATACTTCAAATTTTTAACACATAACCGATTTTTTTGTATACATTAGACATATATATTCACTCAAGCAAACAAACAAATTTCGTTTCTACGTAACACCGCCTCCTTCTGCTTCTCGCAGCAGCAACAGGGAAGCCCCACCAAGGCTTGCTTCAATCTCTCGTGACGCCTCCCTCCACATCGGTGTCGCTGGATCTCGCGGCGCGTTCTAGGTTGTGCCGTTGTGGACACTTCAGCACTCGCTCATCGGCTATGTTGAGGAGATCAAATTGATGGACCGACGGGCAGGAGGTGGAGGGCAGCACGTGGTGGCGGGGATGGATGTGCCGCCAATGGGGAGTTGGGGACGCTGATGTGGGTCCGACGCCAACAGGTTGTCTCGTGGCTCGACGTTCCCAACAGCTGCCTGCGGCACACGGGTCGCCGGCAACCCCGTGGTGCTCCTGGACTGCCACAACGACGGACCGACCCCGCCTCCATTTACGCCTCGTCATCCTCTCACTCCGCTTGTTTGCTTCATAGGGAATGATTATCTCTATCAATAAGCAGAAGCAAACAACTTCTGATCATAAAAGAAAAAAACTAAAAAAAAAGATAATTATCTCATTTCAGTCCTTACAACATGCCAATTTGATCATTTATATGCATTGTACTCCCTCTGTCCCAAAATATAGGAGCATTTTTTTACACTACGATTGTGTCAAAAACGCTCTTATATTTTCGGATGGAGGGAGTAGTAAATTATGAGCAGTAGTAGCACCTTATATGAGTGTGAATTGGAGAGGAGATTATATGATGAGATTTCTTCACCCTATTCATTTCCTTCTTTTTAAATATGATGAAATCAACATCCTGTACATTAAAAAAAAGTATGTTAGCTGATGAATTGTTTCTTATGAAACTGAGGTTTTGAGCATTGGAATCCAATTCATACAAATTTGAGAACGAAAACTCTAAAACATGAAACTAAAAGTTTATGGATAAAATATATATAACTACAACATTTTGACATTGCAAACTGGTCAGAGTATGTATTGACAATTATCATCAAGATGATATCCATAATGTAAATAATTAATGTTAACGACTCTAAGCTCCCATAATACAATGAGCACGCCACAGTCACTGATGGTGAGGAAACATCACTAACTGCAGTAAGTACGTCTAGAAATAACTCAGGATGGAGTATAAAATAATGTACCTTGAAGAAACATGAAACTATCTATACCTTACCTTGCTGTATGGGCACTGAGCCCGTGTGGTGTTGGTTGAGTTCACATTTGGAAACAAGCTATGCACAACTTAAATACAAGGCGAGCAGTTCCCGACAGGTTCTGTCAAACGTGGATGCTAAGGCTAAGGAGATATATACACTACTGAGCACAGTAACAGACAGGCGATTTTCCATTTGTGATCTCCAGGCTTCACGATGCTGTGGAAACATAGATGTCATAAATATCCATTTGCGGGAAACTGGAACAAGAGCAACTACAGGAGATTTTCAGACCTGATATCATGCGGTGTTATAAATATCCATTGTGAGCCTTGTGCAACAGCAAAATCTACAAGGGTGTCCAAGCTTATTTTACAGCTCACCGCGTCCTGCACAAATCAGATACCACCGATAAGGTTTCATTTGTCATTAACAGGATGGTTGCAGAAAGCGTAGCGTTTGCTCACCATGAATACATCAAACTCATCCATGGCCCTAAAAGGTGCTTCTATCATCCCATGAAGTGCTAAAGCGAAGCAAAGTGTCGAAAAAGATCGCTCTCCCCCTGGACCAAGATGCATGGCAAAAGTTCTAGTTATCAAAAACATTAAAGATTCCTAAAGAAAAACGAATTGGTGAATAGTATTCTCAACAATAGATATAATGTGAAAAATATATCTTGCAAGTTACAACTGTGGCAAACTATACAGGTACCTGACAGTCCTCTAGTGTCTCTTACGGTGTCATGGGATGCATCTTGAGGCATCGTTAGCTACATCAAACACCATAAACAACTGTTACATGAAGCACAAATCCTCCAACCGCTATGTACACATCAAAATGGCAATGTTATGAAGGATTCATACCTCAATGTTACGAAGGTGCTATGCAATCTTGTAGGGAATGTACCCGGCATACATTAGAGATGCCCAATCATTAGGGATAAATACATATATGGATCCAGAATAATTCACCTCATATTGCATATAAGTAACAATTCAATTAGTTGGAAATTAAGGGGATTACAACTATTGAAAGTTACCTGAAGAGCATCACTTACAAACAAATTTCGGCCAAGCTTTATAACCACCATCAGTTGTAAATTTGTTTTAACCCACACAACATGATAACGAGTTGGGCATCTTGTTCCCTAGAAGACTTCTGAATCAGCAATTAGACTGACTATTCATATAATATAGTAGAAGAAATGGAATCAACAACATGTTAGGGACACCCCTTCTTTGTGCTAGCTTAGCTACACCTGTAGAAATCAAAATCAAGTTAGCATATCCCAAAAAAAAGGCTAATGCATCAAACGAAAGGACTACTTTGATGAACCTTCTGGAGCACTACAAGAAAAAAGAGAAGCACACCACCAAGAAAATGCACTCGAGTATGCGACCAAGTAGGTATGTTTCCTGTAAGAAGAGTACCCACGATGCCTTACATGTATAGAAGCAATTTATTTCTATTCCAGCAGCTGCTCCTATGTGGGATGAAACAAATATCTCCAAAATAAAAGCTCCTCGGAGCCTCTTATGTTGTTCAGCAATCCTTCTCCCAAAATAGACCTTAACATTTTGTGGGTTCTTCCTCAAAATGGAATAGAATAACAGAAAAAGTATACAAAGACCAATATTGATTCCAGCAGAGGTCAGAAGAGCACCAATTTTCATCTCTTTATAACAAAGTATATGAGATTCAACACTCATTATGTCATCTGAATACAAAATAATTCATAGCTCTGTTCGCGTGTTGATGCCTGAAGGGAAAAAATGGGTTATGAAATTTCATATAACATATAGAAGACCTACATACATGATCTTGAATTAATTCAGCTATCACATTGTTCCCATGTGTGCCCCCAACAGATCGACTTTCTGCAACCAGGAGAAAAAAGAAAGTCTATTTTATTACTGGTGAGAATTGAAACAATCTGAACTGAACTCCCTCTCCTGCTGATTTACAAGGGAACATAAAAGCTAGCTGTAAAATCATATTGGGGGGAGGACAGTTAATTACAGCAAATGTGGAAGTGAGCAGCAATGGTAAAGTCAATCATAACATAGACTTTATGTAGAAAACAAAACAAACGGGGCTTGAATAAATAAGACGGATCTCTCCAGCTGGCTTTGATCCATCTTTCACTTGGGAAAAATGGGGGGGCACGGACAAGGGACCTCACCTTGATATCAAGCTCATGGAACGAGTTGCTATGACGTCGGCGGCGTCCACAAACCCTTCAAACGGGCCCACCACTACATCCAGCAACAACCGGTATGACTCCGGTGCTGCCACAAATGATGACACTTCCACCACTCAGCAGGCCCCGCAGCGCGCCCCCTTCCATGACCGACGGGTCGAAGCGGCCGGCATAGACCTTCCTGTAGATGACGCCCACCGAGCAGAGCTGCGAGAAGAGCGTGGCCGTCAGCACGCCGGCGGCGCGCGCCATGCAGCCCGCCCACGGGAGTTGCCGGTCGTACATGAGCACGCGCAAGCGCACAGGCCTCCCCGTAGTGGCCTCGGAAAGAAAGAGCGTCTCAAGGGTGTCGGACACGCAGCCCTCGGCAACGGTGTCCCGACGGCGACCTGGATTAAGGTCATGTCCAAGGCCGAAGCTTATTTCTCACTCATACTTCCGAGCATGCTCAGACATCAAACGGGTGCGACAGTCTCTCTCAATGTAGTAACAGCGGCACCAACATGAACCGTAGCATAGCAGTAGTGTCGCCCCTGCGCACGGGTCGTCTCTCCTTCCCTTCCCCGCTCGAGCGACGCTATTTCCAACCTTTCCTGCTGCATTTCCTTGGCACTGCACTCCCTCTGCTTTCCCTCCTCTCTTCCATGCCCATGAATTATAGCAAAGGAAGAAAAGATATTTCAGTCTGAAAGTCTGAAATATTTTGATCTCTATCAACTAGAAGCACAGATAACTATAATTTTAAAATATGAACATATGCTATCTTCATCAGTAAATGAACAGGTAAAAAAGCATAGGACCAAAACCAAATAATTTCGGCATGAATGTTACAGATCATTTAGTAGCACAATGGCAATGTGTGCAAACCATTGTACTGTTACCACTTGCAAAAGTTTAACAACAATTCACGACTCCAACATCATGCAGTACTTTTATATTACTATAGGATACTGGATACAAATGGCTTTGTAAGGGGTTTCATACACAATTTTTAATGTGTAAGTAAACATGTTCGAAGAAGCAGGAATGCTGATGCAAAATTAAACCATGGATATAACCTTATAGCACCAACATGCCTGTCTATGTTACTCATCAAGCCAGACTATAGAACTTTTCTCTGTCGGCAACCTGTCCAAATAGACACTACCTAATTGCCTCAAGCTAGCCCCATTCCGCCACAAATATGCACATGCGGCTTTCCTCTTCGGTCTTCTCATCCGCCTGACCATCGGGAGCATTGCCCACTATGCATGCTCACGTCTACTTGCTCCTTGTCAAGTACATCCATGCGTCCGACTCCCACCTCAACACCATGCTCCATGTTTGCTGATGTCTATGTCAAGTCCAGCCTCATGACACAGATGGGGTGTATTATTTTGTCCAACACATGAATGACCGTCACCGCACCCGCCATTCTCGTTTCTTATGCCCCTATTAAACTCGCCGCCGCATGCGCCTTTATCCTAGGAAAAAATACATTCAGAACATTATAAAAAACGTAATATTTAAATCTATTTTTCCAGTCAATGCAAGATGTGGTTCCTCACCTTTATTTCATTAGCAGAAGATTCAAAAGTTAGGCTTTAATACAGCTTTCAAAATGAATAATGTGTACTATAATCAATCATGTGCTAGGTTATCATTGAGAAAACATAATACAGAAGTACGCTGAAGCTACCCGCTCTTAGGTTTATAGTGTATACTGTATACTACAGATGTATAATTTTGAGATCAACGCAGCAACTTTGTCATGCATCAGGGATATCTTTGTTTTGAAAAGAACATCACCTGTGTGGGTTGTGGTTGGTAACATGTGCTCATTGCTCAGGTGTGTTGAGATCTGCAAGTTTTAGCACAAGAAACTTTAGTTGTAACACTGTCCAGCTATGCCTGAAACAAATAGAATTATTGAAATGGTCTACTCATCAAATTATTACCCAGAGTATATAACTTCACATATTTTGACCAAACAGACTTGATAACTTATTTTTCAAGTAAATAAGAACACATGTGAAAAAAGAAATGTCCAAGCTTTCCTTATAGATTACTACAGGAAACTTGGCTCTCTCACATCTGAAGATGAACCTATGATAGAAGATTATACCAACCATGTACATGAAAGAATTGACAAAAGCCATTTCTGAAATGTAGATTAGAAAAATAGTGCAGACCAAAAGAACATGGTGAGTGAGTGAAAGACTCAACTTGCCTTTACCAAGATTTCCACATATGCCAAACAAATTCTGTCACTGAAACTTTTATCCAAGCTAGCGCTGCTCTGGTTCTTTTCCTCCATACGTATCACCCTGCAATGAAACGTATCACATTAAGAATAATTAGAGGTATCCTGAAAAATAAAATGACAGCAATTAGTATTACTCCATAAATGAACAATGAGACTGCTGGAAAATACATTGTAATAACATATTAATATTTTTGTATTACCATAAGAACATATTAATCGAGTTCCTTGCAAAAGTTTAATAGAAATCATGGACCTGAACTGCTTCATCTTGTCATGCCCAAATCTCTTTGCCCTAGAATGTGTGGAGGCGCATCTCCCAGCAGTAGCGAGTCACGACTTTTCAATAACTGATAGAAGAACACAAGTTAAAAATTAAGCAACAGAGGTGGCACCTGACAAAGGATAATACATATTATATTCTAGTCTTATCGAACCTATAACTTGATCCTTAGTAATGAATTATTACATTCTTGCACGATCGAGGGAACTGCTTTAGTATGAAGTCCTTTGGTTCAGGCCCTGAATGGCCAACACCATCACGCATTGCAGCCCTGTGTGAACACACACTGCTATTCGTGTCTCTTGGCTATTGGATTATAATTGAATGTTAGTAGACAACAAGCAAAAGGCAATTCATATACTCTGCACTCAGTACACCATGGATGCTCCGAAAATCAACTTTTGATCTATTGCTGATAGATCGGCTGCAATCACCAATGATCATGATCCTCATAATCTAGTTGTTGAACACCTTGATTCTCAAAAGAATTCCATGCTGCATTGTTATTTCACCCAGGTTAAGGCTATGAAGATAAAACACCTGCACAAATCATGCACTTGATCGTTATGTATAAATGCAATGCAGCTCAGACCAATAATTTTTGAGGTACTGTCTAATACCTGAAGGAAGAGAACACCCGGTTATGTTGGTCATGGATTTCTTCCTTGTGACATCACACTTTAGCTTGTCATCTGCCTCTAGTATGCCTTCCATGACATATTAACCCCACTTGTAATTATGAATATTGTCAGGACCCATAAGCATTGGCCAGTATGTTAGGCTTGAATAATCATATTTTGCCATCGGTGCCATCATGTATCCCACAAGGAAAATAATAAGTGTTGCCTTGGAAGCATGCACCTCCTTCTCTGTCATCGGTGAGTTATAATTCTTTTCCAGTAATGCTTGAGCTGCTTTCAAACTTCTTCCTTCTTTTGACCCTATAATCCCTAAACATCATCTGATCTCCTTGGCTGCTGACTGAATGCAGTCATTCTTCTTGTTAGCAACACGAGCGCCTGTCCAAGGGATCCTGATCGAATACCTTCCCAACGTCCGTGGCATCAAACGGGCAAGTTCTATCATCATCAATTACAATTGCCCTCCTATATCTATGTCCACATGTGTAAGCAAGAACACATCCGGCTTTAGATTTAGCTTGTTCGGCTCAGGGATATGGAGGATACCTCCCACCCTATAGAAACCACAATGTCGCGCTTCTTCTGATTGAACTTTGAGATGCTGCTATGAATCAGTTTAACAGAACTTCTTGATGTTGCCCCAGTGCCTCCTTCCAGATGCATCTCCCTGTGCAAAAATTAATCCTCAGTACTAATTGATAATCACAGAAAGGACAACATGGCACTGTCGTGCATGCTGTGCTCGCCCCTAATCTGTTCAAGATGTGCATCCTATCTTGTCGATGGCACGGTGCCGTACCTGTCTTGCGGTCGCGGACGTGGATGGAGACGGAGCATGCGGCACACCAGGAACACGACCTTCTTGCGTCACCATGCCATCACCACGCGCACGGACGCCGGTATCCTCACGATGGTGGCCAGTCTCGATACCCCCCACTTGCTCTTCCTTCTGCCGTCATGGGGTCTGTTGTCCAAGTTACGCCCGTGATGGTGGTGTCCGTGGAGGGCCATGGGTGGTGGCATTGCACGTGAGGCGGCAGCTTCTGAAGAAGAGGATCCGGCGTGCTACAGTTGGCAAGACAGCGGTGGGGAATACGGGACGGCGACATCGGTGTTGTATGGAGAAGAGGATGGGGGAGGCCGTGGATCATGAAGCGTCGATGGGAACAATGGGAGCAGCCTCGTCGCTGGGGAGCGGCGTGGCATCAGGAGGCAGAATCGGTGATCTCGTGCGGATCGGAGCGCAAGGGAGGACAGATGTGATCGTGTGGCAGCACAGAAGCTTGCGACGGGAGGTGGCGGGGGCTGCAGCGACGGGCGGCGGCGTTTGAGGGAGGGGATCGGCGGCGGCTGCGAGGGCGAAGGATCTGGTGAGGCGGCAGGGCAGACGTTGCAGGAGACGGTGGCGGGGACCTCGAGGACGAGCTTCCCTGGCTCCAGAGGCCATGGCGGCGCCGGACACAGCGGCGAGGCGAGGAGGAGGCCGGCCGTCGGGGAGGCAGGAGCTCCTCATCCCCTCGATCCAGATCGGGATCGAGGATGGAGCAACGGGGGCGCGAGGGAGCGGGCGACCCGCGGGCGGCGGTCGGGGCGTAGGTTATTTTCGTAGGTTAACCCTCGTAGATTTTTTATGACGATTTTCTATCGATGAACTGTAGTGTTTCATAACTGGCATCGTGGTAGCATACCTTTTTTTTGTCGGTCTCGAGGACGGAAGGGGGGAATCACTGGGTTGCGGGAGGTGGGATCGAGGACGAAAATTAACCATCTCTGGTGGGATGAAAATTGACCGGTGGAGACTACCAACTGTTTCATTAGGAGTAGAGATTAGTATAGTACTCCCTCCGTTCCCAAATATAAGTCTTTCTAAAGATTCCAACAAGTGACTACTACATATGGAGCGACTGTTCGATTAGGAGTAGAGATTAGTATAGTACTCCCTCCGTTCCCAAATATAAGTCTTTCTAAAGATTCCAGCAAGTGACTACTACATATGGAGCAAAATGAGTGAATCTACACTCTAAACTATGTCTTCATACATCTGTATGCTGTATTCCATTTGAAGTAGTATCTAAAAAGGCTTATA